TTAAGACTATATATTAATATTAATAAAATATTACCTATTTCACATATAAGCAGAGATTATAAAAACATTTGGCAATTTTTTTCTATTGCGCGAAATTTTGTGTATTTAGTCTATGGCTTTAAATGACACGAAATGCTTTATCTATGGTCAAAGCTAGATAATCTACATTTATGTCTCATACAGATATCTACGACATAACTTTAGTAGGAGATTTTATAACTGATGTCCAAAATAATATTTTTCTTTAGTCGTCAACAAAAATCTTTTTAAGCGTTGGATTGGCTTTGTATTAGACTTTACTCTGATATTGATAATTTCTTTCTTTAACATTTCAATATTTTTTTCTACATTTCCTTGATAAAATCTTCTACTAAAATAAACTAAGCTATGTTAAAATATTAAGAAATTCGTAATTCAAACATCGGTCATTTTCCTCGGCGCGTTATTGTTGGCGGCGAGTTTTTGCAAGACAAAATGTTTGCTCCAGTTGACATTTTTGTCTTGTTGCCGACTTACTTGTACGTGCTAGGGCAGCGTGCAAACGGAGACAGATATCAGTAAGGCTTTGTACACACTTGGAGCTTCGGAAACGCGGGTTAATACAAATATAAATTTTATTTCTACACAAAATCGTATTATAATTACAGAGATGCGAAAAGACGCAAGAAATTTGGTAAATTCTTTGAAAATTCAGTCAAGAATAAAATTTTTAACTTCAGAAGAGTCAAAGTTATTTCAAGTAATTTGTATTGAGTGCAGAACCAATTTCAGAATTATCATATGATCAACCTCCTCCCAACAAAAGGTGCCTAGATCTAGTCTAGAAATTGTAAAATGCAGAAATCTGACTTAAAACGCGTTCCCAAGCACCTTGTATGTACTACGGTTAAGTGCCAACTTAATAACTTAGCAAAATAATTTAACATACGTGGTTATTTGTTAAAATACGCAGCAATTGTTAAAAATGTTTTAGTAAGCTTAAATAATTTATGAGTATTTTTTATATAAAATTAGTATAACCATAGACAATAGTAGAAAATATAATTTATTCTTCAAGAAACAATAAATCAAACAGTCTTAAATGGATATAAAACTATTTTTACGTGAATTTAAAAATAGAATGATTTGCAAACTACTGTGAAAAATGCATTTAATTTCCCCCCTGTTAATTATTTACGCATCTGGCTGCAAAAAAAGAAAAAAATGTCATCGTATGATGCTGGCATAAAATAAACATTAAAAAAAATCCATTTGAAAGCGGTTTGATTTAATGCAGGCGTAACATGAATTATTATTATTATTTAGTAAATATATTTGGAGTAAAAGTAACACTTCTGTAATATTAAAATTTTAGAAAAGATTTTACAATCGTTTTAAGAGTTAAATTTTGGATTTTCAAACAAACAAAACATCAATTTAAATTAATCATCCAAAAACGATACTGAAAATTATGAAAAAAAAAGTTTATATTTGTCACTAGAGTGCCCCTCAGATTCCCTCATTTATCGGATAAGTCCCCTTTAATAACCAGTTTATTAGTTTCCCTTATCACTCTCACTTAATGACTAATCTATTTGTGACTAAAATGGTCAAAACATCAGAAATTTCCTTTAGTATCAATCCATATTACAGAAGTTTCACTTATGTGTGCTGCTCACCTCCTTCCTGCTGCGCAGCGCGCAGTCCTCCAGGGTCTCTGCAGCTTCATATTTACCCTGGCGGCGGTACAGCGCGCCGAGGTTCTTTAGAGTTGTGGTCACCGTCGGAGAGTCCACCTGAAATACCCTAAACTAGTACTCCACAAAACTATTGCTATCTCTCTCTCTTTTATGTTAAAAGAAAGAGATGACTATAACGCAATAACGTAAACACATCAACCCAAAAAGGTTTTTTAACCGGTTATAATATAGAAATGACATTTAATATTTAGTTACAATAACCGATATAGTATTTTTTTATAAGTTACGTTCAATGGCTTTTACTATGTACAGTTATTTTGAAATTATCAAAAAAATCTATTGTGAAATAAATATTTTTATGTACGTAAATATTCTTATACTTAACAATGTTAAAGTTTAACTAATAACTTAAATAGTCCTGTAAAAACATGGACACAATACATGGATATATGAACCAAAAGTTTAGGTTTTGTAGGATTTTCACAATTTTCCATATTTTTTTATAAATATGATCTAAACCGGTAATAGGTATATTTTTTTAGTAATGAAATAAACCTGAACATTTGAAATATACCTTAGCAGCCTTATGCCAGCCTCCATACTCGCCGTATGGCGCGTTCTCCTTCTGCAAGTGCTTATTCTCCTCGCGCTCCTCCGCCACCTGCCAGATCGGCTTGTTGTCACCTGCAATACATAGTCCTCATATATATTCATATTTATATTATACATAAGAGACACAAAAAACTTGCTTCAGACCGTTTTTTTCATCTGTAAACTAGGCAACTACTGCTAGTTTAAAAATGAAAAATTGAAAAAAAAAAAACCGCTTGTTATATACCCTTTAAATACTATATACTATATCTGTTAATGTTTACATTAGCAACATTATTGAGATAGTGTTATTAGTTGGAATTTTTGGAGTTGGGTCATGTTTTTTACAGCATAATAAAATAAAAAATGTTATAGTACAGTCTAATATTATCATATCTATAAATTATAACTTACAAAAAAAAAACGAGAAATCATTACAAAAAACTAAAAAATGCAATAGTTACATTTAAAATAACAATATCTCGCTTTGTATTTAACTTAAAAAAAATGTGACACAAGTCGGGAAGGTGTGACACAATCGGCAGTAAAAAAAAGTATTAAAAAAAATTATAAAAACTAAAAAAATGTTTGCCTTTCCTACCTGTGCCACACATAAATAATCCAAACTTGTGTCACTCACCTATTAACATTGTCACAACCTCCAAACTAATGTAGGATAAAAAATAAACATAAATAAAAAATACAATTTTACAAAACTTCGGCATTTAATTTTCAAAAATACATAACTTTTATATATCAAACTTTAAATAATCTAAAATTCCGATTTTATTAAAAAATGTAAATAAAAATTATCAATCCAAGAATAATATAAATCGAATTAAATTCAATAAATCTGCTTTAAAATTCAATAAATTAACAATTAAGGAACGTGCAACAGTCTGTCAAAAAAAAAAATTACTTTGGCAACATTAACTCGTATTTTTTTTATTTTCTAAAACAACCATACTAACTCCCTTTTTTATAAAAGTGAGCTGAGATTGTCATAAACTATTTTACACAGTGGTTCTATGAAACTTATCCATAGACAACATGTATCTTATACATTTTTTAATAATTTTTTAAATATATCTAACATATAAAAGATTTTTTTAACATAGCAACACAAATATAAAACTGCAAATTATCTTCAAGGCAAGTCTAATTGGAACTTTACAATTATAAACAAAAATATTTGTAAAAATGCTATAGGCTTTTATTCCCCAATTATTCGATATTTTTTTATTTTATTAATACTACAAAAACATTTTTTTTCTTTTTCAATGCAATAAAAGCTATGATTTTTAAGCAAGAATATAAGCATCTCTTCTCCCAAACCGAAGCTTAAATTAAAAAAAAGGGTTTTCATAATTATATTAACTTTTCATTCATAATTAACAAAATATGACAAAAAAATGTATGGAAATTGATATTTCTCTGTTCACAAGATTAACGGCCAAATACATAAAGAAATCTAAAATAATTAACTTCGAAAGCTGCTTACAATATGACAGATGTCATTTTAATGGAATTTACAGTTAAGCGTATTACCATTTAAGAGGCTCTTAAATATTCAAGGGCTTGTCCCACTGGCTGATAGAGGCTCAGATAGCTTAAAAATGACGTCACTATCAGATAAGGTAACAAAATCCGATATTTCCATCACATGTTATGCTTTGGATGGTTATCAGATAATTCAAATTTTATGGGACAGTCCCTAAATGTCCCTAAAGGACTTATTTAATGGTTTCATGCGGCATTAGCAACTCTAAAAATTATATAAAATAAAAAAAAATTAACTATTACGCAATTCTTTTTCCATAATGTTTTTTTTGTTTTTGGCATCGAATATAATACTTTAAAATTCATTGGTATTTAGAAATTGTGCTTAAAAATTCAGTATCTTGAAAACGCAATAATTAAAATTGAAAACATTCAGGACAACATTGGTTAACATAACCTAGTAGTCCTTAACAATATTTACAAAAATCTACCAACCATAATTTTTCTCTAATAAAACTCAGTCTTCGAACATACAAATCCATACATAGCCAAAATATTCTATAATCTATCCCTTTTCCTTCTAACACTTAACTAAATGATAGTGTTAATTTAATCTATATTTACTATTCTTAGAACATTCCAGAACACAAGAGCAAATTTTTATCGCAAATAAAATTGTGCTTTATGTATTTAAAACAAGGTTTAATTTTTCTTTTCTTCCAAATCATGAAAAAGACATGTAAAGTAAATTACACCTTATATCAATCGAATAAAGTTCAATTTTATTTGCGATATAAATATGCTGTTCTATGCTCCAGTATGTATGAATGGACATAATGGTTTCTTTAAGCATAAATAACTACATTGCACATTTTAGCCTCAATTTATACAATTGTAAAATAACCTTTAAGTAAACTTACATAAAATTCAAACTGGAATATTTTTAGTAAAATAGAATACATGAAAACTTAACAAGGCAGCTAAAATATCTCGAATCAAAATATATCAATAATTCTATTAAGGCAAATAATTAGCTTAAAAATAATGCACCTAAAGACCTAACACTAAAACACTAAAAAGCCGCCAAAAGTACAAGAATATTTATCGTATTATAATGCTTATTTAAGCAAAAATAAGGTAAAACCAAAAAATATATATATTTCAATAGATTTTTTGGCGGCAATAAAAAAAAAATAACATTTCATAGGCAAGATATAAACTAAAAAAACTAAGAAAATTATGTTGAAATATCGAGTATTTATGAAAAAATGCAAAAAAGAGATCTACATAATCTATTCCAAACATATATTACTATTTCCTTACATATATTAAATACATTATTTTTTTATTATACAAAATCCTAGAAGCAAAAAATTTCATTTTAAACTTGAATAACAATAAACATTTTTAATATATCAACAAATAAAATATTATTTATAATGCTAATAGGATTTTGTGCTTTGGTCCGAAAGATAATTTTTTACACATGCACAAAATGAGAGAAACAATTTTTTTTTTTTTACAAAAAACAGCAATGTTATATTTTAAGGCAACATTGTCTAATCCTTGTATATTACACGAAAAATATAGGTTCAAGGTAAATCGCCATTACAAAAAAAAAGTGGATATCTTAGTATTATTTCTCTCAATTAAGCATATAAATATATATTTAACGTATAGAAATGTACAATTGATAAAATTCACCATCTTGTTAGTGGGAACAAATGTACTGCGATTTGTTATTTTTTAGGTTTTTTTAATGATGCTATATACTCTGAAATGATAAACAGAAAAATAAATATAAAAAATATACAAAAAACTCAAAAAATGGTATTGAAAAACTTAAAATTTAGATATAAAAATTCTTACTAGAACATCCTTACTTTTTACTAATATTTTAAATGAGAAAGTTGGATGGATGGATGTTGCTACTTATTTCCAAAATATTATATTTCATAGAAAAACATGGGCTATTTTTGACCGACTTCCCAAAAGAAGGAGGTACTTAATTCGTCTGTATGTTTTTTTTTACTCCACAATAACAGCTTGCGGTCAAAAACTCACAATTATAAAGCCTGTAAGCGCAATTCGTTGTAAACCTAAACTAAAACTCAGTGACCAGTTACGACTCTGAGTGCCCTGATATATTATAATTGTTATTTTATTAACATTTGTATATTTTTTTTCACTCACCATCAATAGTGCCGAATTCTCTCTCGTGTGCGCGCGTCAACACCTGCTTGTATAAAGTCTCTGCTTCCTTGTATTTACCCTGTACAATATTTTATTAATTTAACCTTAAAAACAGACTAAAAAACACTAAAAAATACAATAGAACCTGTATAACTTCAAAAAATATTATGTTCCCTTCCCATCAGAGCCCAAAAGCTACAACATAGACCCTTGATAACCTAAAACCTCTGTAACTTAAAATATTTTGTGTTTCCCTTGGACTTTAACTTATCGAGGTTCTATTGTATATTCAAAAACATTAAGAAAAACCTTTAAAAACGGCGATCAAAATGTAAGCTGAGTTTTGATTTAATTTAATTCCACGCGGGCAGAGTCGCGGCGAAATCTAGTTATTGAATATTTGAGTTTTTTTAACGATCGGTTGTTATATAAATGTACTAGCTTTTGCTCGCGACCTCGCCCGCGTGGAATTAAAATATAACCAAAAATACTTATGTTACATAGTGATCACGTAGTTTTTTTGGAAGAATTTTTGAAATTAGCTCTGTAGTTTTTGAGTTATTTCAATACATAGAAAAAGAGAAATGTTTCGTCTGTATGGTATAGTATTGTGTACACGTGCCTGCTTGAGGTAGCAGGAAGCGAGGTTATTCTTGGTCTTGGCGACGTTGGGGTCGTCGGGGCCCAGCTTGCTCTCGTAGATCTCCAGCGCGCGCTGGTAGTACTGCTCCACCTCCTCGTACTTGTTCTGAAATATTCATACCACTTTTTTATAACTGTTTTTTATATTACATATGCGAAAGTTTAGGATGGATGTTTGTTAGACTTTGTAGCCTAAACGGCTGAACCGATCATGATGAAATTTGCCATAGTTGTAGAGGATAGTCTGGAAGAACACATAGCCTACTCTGTTGTTTCTTTTTTTTTAATTTCACGCGGACCGAATCGCGGAAGAAACCTAGTTGTAATATTTTTCTGTTTTTTTAGATACTTATGTATTGATTTTTTTAAAATGAGGAAGGGATTTGTTCCATCAGCACAGGGAAACCTAGTGCAGAAGCCAAGGCTCCCATGGAATTTATATATCATTTTTATCGGAGTGAAATAATAAAGCATTTACTTATTTAATGTTGGTTTTTACATCGAAATTAACACGTGGATTACATTAACCCTGAAATGTGCTAATGTGATCAATGAAAAATGATGCAAAATTTTTGTTACCTCTTTTATTATAACCATCTTGCATTAAATATGATTGTTTCGGAAGGTTTGGTAAAATTAAGGCATTTAAGGGTCATTCGAATTCCAAAAGGACGTTATCAATTCGTCTTTTTCTTTTAATTTTTGCTACTTTAGTCAAAACTGATTGTTGAATATATTGATTTAGTTGTGAGGTTCACATTGCGTTTCGCATCAGCACAGTTGTTTCCAGCTTGTAAGAGTTGTCAGTCTGTGTACCTGGTTCTGGCAGAGCAGCGCGAGGTTGTTGAGCTGCTTGGCGACGTCGGGGTGGTCGCGGCCCAGCACCGCCTCGCGGATGCAGAGCGCGCGCTTGCACAGCGGCTCCGCCTCGCGGTACTTACCTGCACACTTACACACATCAATACA